AAAAAAAAAGTCTTCTTGTCTCTTGAAAAAAAATTTACCAAACTAAAAGAAACTACTGCAAAATAAGTTTTATATTTATATTTACACTCTCATCTAAGCCATTATTTTTTTAAAGATTATTTATTTATTTATTTGAGAGAGAGACAGAGAGAGCAAGGGAGCATGAGCAGGGCGGGGGGGAAGAGCAGACTCCCCACCGAGCAGGGAGCCCAACGTGGGGCTCGATCCCAGGATCCTGGGATCATGACCTGAGCTGAAGGCAGATGCTTAGCCGACTGAGACCCCCAGGCACCTCTTTCATCTAAGCCATTATTAAGCCACAGGCCACTACTAAGATAATGACATTCTAACCAGTTCCACACTCACTTGGCAATGAGTGATGACTAACAGACCAGGGATGAGGCCATGTGCCATACTGCAAAATACTCCAAAACCATTAAGTTATCACCTAAGATTGATGAGTCTTCAAACTCAAAGAGCTCCACCTTTTAGTAAGGCACGAGAAACTTAAGCCATTCACTTTTATCTCTATACCCAGGGCAGGGGGTGGCAAACTTCTTGTACAAAGGCTCAGAGAATAAATCTTGTAGTCTTTGTGGGCTATGGGGATGGGGTCTCTGCCACAGCTCGACTCTGCCTGTGCCGCGGAAAGCAGCCATTGACAATCCGTGAACGAACAGACGCGGCTGGGTTCTGACACAACTCCATCTGTAAGAAGAGGCAGTGGGTCAGACCGGCCCATGAGGGGCAGTTGGTCAGCCCTCTGTTACGGGTGCGGGGCACATGGCGTGTTAGACACTTGAGCACATCTGCGGGCTTAAGTGGGTGTGTATCTCCTTGCAGCTGTACACCAAACCTCCACCTGCCTTCCCCCACGGCCTTGGCAGTGTTGTGGGCGTGTGGCCGGGGCAGTCCTACAGGGCCCCATGTTTAGAAGGGTGCTGAGCTTCACTGTTTAATGCTCTGTGCTCAACATCTTGAAGTCTGTAATGACTGATTATACATTGGCACTGGTGTTTCGTCAGAGAAGTCTGATGGGACGGTGGAACCCCCGCTCATATCTGTGGTCTTCTCTTCACTGCCCCCCAGCAGCCCCGAGGTGGGACTCAGACACCTGTCCCCTGCAGCTTCCTCTCTGGCCCACACTTGGGGATCTGGCTGCCCTCTGCCTTGGGTGCAACCAGGTCATGGCAGGGGGAGGGTGGGAGTGGGGCTGTGTTCTGCTGTGGCTCTCTGCCTCTGGCAGGAGCCGGGATGTGAGCCTGGGGAAGATTAGGTGGAGTGTGTCACCCCTGACATCCCAGGACACGGAGGGGACCATCCCTGTCTCCAACTGCTATCACTGCTGCACACTCAGTAGACCCAACGTGGAGTCTCTGCTCACCCTGATCCAGGTACCACTATGCCTGCACCCCCCCCCATGAGTATGCCTGCGCGGGACAGAGGCCGAAGTGAAATGGCAAATACAGGACATCGTAACTGCACAAGAGGGAGAGAGGGAGAAGGGGGAGGGGGAGAAGGGGGGGAAGACAGACTATAAAAGAAAGGACAATATTTTATATTGTAATACTCTGCATCACTTTTTTCCTGCACTTTGGACACAGGCCCCTGCATTTTCCTTTTACACAATGCCCCGATCAACCCTCTGAGCTCTAAAGAATCACCTTCTGAGATTCATCTACTAGAATGGAAGGTGGCAAGGTAAACTCCACTTATGCATCCTTTGTAAGCTAACCTTGATGCCAGGGTAATAACAGGGCTTCCTGCAGCATTCCCCGACCTTAAATGTAAGGCTCTGAAATTAATTACGAATTGTAGGTTTCAGACTCCAAAGGGATATGATGATTGGGGTTGCTGCATGGGGGTCACTTCCCTCACGTAGTTGCTGTAGCATGAATTCATATTTCCTTAGAATGATGATGAGACACCTTATATAAAGCAGAGTTGAAACATATGTATGACATTTAATAAGACAACAACAGATAAAGTCAAAATTTTGCTAAGATATCCCTTTATTCCCTATTAAAGAAGATAAAGCCTTAACATTCGGACATACAAAAACACACCGTGTGTCTGGTTTGAATAAACCAACTGTGAAACAGACATTGTGGAGACGGTCAAAGAAGTGTGGGTATGGGCTGGGCACTACAAGATATTAATCTGTTAATACTGTCAGGTGTGATGATGACATAGTGAGTACAAAAAAAAATCCTTCATAGACGCAGGCTGAGGGATTCATTGGTGAAATATGAAATAACATCGTGTCTGAGATCTGCCTCAAATACTTCAGCAAAAGGAGCAACAGAAGAGGGAGGCAGACACAGAGGATGTGGAAGAGAAGATGAAGAAACAGTGACAAAGATGATGAAGGAGGAGAGAAAAAACGTCAGATAGAACAGGACTGGCAAAATGATGAACCTAGGTGATGCACGTGTGGGAATTCATTATAGCATTCTTTTTATGTTTTTCAATTCCCATAATGGACTCTGCGTGCGCGCGCGTGTGTGTGTGTACCTGTTGCCTACAAAAAAATTTCAAATAAAAACTAGGGCACAGATTTTTCATTCTCCTCCATACCAAATGTCTTTTTTTTTCCCCTCAGGCTGGCAGGAGCGCTCTACGCTGAAGAGATACAAAGGAGTTGATGGGAAGGATAATCCGCCCATGGGCTCCTGACACAATATAAAAAAGAAAAGGAGAAAGTGGGAGGAAGAGATCGCTATTGTTCCTCCCCTAACCCTTCCTTCTAATTATGCCAGAGTCAAGGCTCGGGTCACAAAGAAAATGATTTTGGTGGTCAACCATTTGCCCTGTTTTATATACATCAAAAAAGCTCTTGTTCTGACCACATTCCAATCTCACAGTTTCCCACCTACTTTAAAAATGTATTGAGGCCAGATTAACAAAAATATGAACAAAATGACTATATTATAAGGAACGCTTTGTCTGTAAACCGGGAGATGGCCTTCTTGTTATGCTGAATTGCATGATGTGGGACACTTTAAAAAGTTACATACACTTTCTGTTATTATAAGTATTTCCGATAAATGCTCAACATGCACAGCTTTTAAAAAGTTGAATGTAAATTTCTCTCTTGAGTGCAGATGGTGGCCAAGCAAAGTAGCTCTTTGGTCTTCCAGACAGAAGGTCAGGTCATGGCTGAAAGACCAAAGAACAATTGCTGCTTTGCTCCTCCAGATCCACGGAATGAGACACCACCACTTTCCTTTCTGAAACTGTCTGCTCAATACAAAATGGTTACAAAGAGTACCTATAAGATGTCCTCACATTCTGTCCAAGAGAAAATGGTAACAAGCACATCCCATCACAAACACCTTGTAACCATTCCGAGGTTTTATTCCTAACCCTCCGACCTCCAAGAAGGCACATCTTTATCTAAAAACAACACTAGAAATCATTATGAAAACTGCTGTTTGACTAGTAAGCAGGAAATGTTTACAAATGAAAATGGCTCCTTTTAAAATCCTGCCACTTTGGCCTCCGCATCATTGCTGGTTAATTGCAACAAGCTAGAGCTCTGAAAGACAAATATTACAAATACTTCTGCACGTTATTCATTTACAAGTGATATGGTAATCTTACTATTCCGACAGTGTTTTGTCTCCCTAGAACATTATCCTATAATTTTAAATAACTCAGACACTCTTCTTATTTTTTTTCTAATTAGTCCAAGTTGTTATATTGGGCAGGTGCTATAGAATAATACAAAAGTATTTAACAATGCTAGCAAGCATACCAAGATGATACCCTTTAAAAAAAAAAGTCATAATATATCAGGAAAGGAAAGGAAAGTTCTGTTTGGTTTGGTAGTGCTAGACCTTGGGCTGCTGATGGAAGATTTTCAATTCCACTATCAGGCACGCCCCCAACTGGATGCAATGCAATAAAATAGTTTCATTATCTGTACACATTAATAATGAAAATTCTGAAAATTAAAACTCATTAACACTCTGAATATAGTGGTACAAAAGCAGAATCTGATTCTGGTTGTTCAGATGTTAATTTAGCGCCGGGGATTTCAGCCATGACTTGGAAAACTTTTTCAAGTACTAAATTTCATTATCACTTTCATTTTTAATACTCCCCTATCATCTATTTACATCATCTGCATAGAAAGTTGACTGGGTTGAAAGGGAAAAGATGCTGGAAAGTACGATATAAAGCTATGAACTAGAAATATATTTGAAAAAAATTACTTTTAAGTTTACCTACTTTTAAATTGTGCTGATTCTTTAAAAATACTGACACTGAGAACTCATTTTAATTGAATAGATTTATCAATCTACTTCCATTGAATATAAAGAATGAAAGCCTTCGATGTTCTGTACTGTAACACAAATATAGAAAACCCAAAATGAGTCTATTAGAACTGCCTCTCTCAAAACTTTATCCATGTCGTCAATTAAAATTGGAGTATCTACATGATCTCAACAAAGATATAACATAAAACATCTGTTCAACTGAAATGGGAGTAAGCAGCATTTTCCCCTAACATTTCTAATTTCCCTGTATTTAAGGCTTCTTGAGCAAACGTATTCATGGTTATCTTAGTTAAAACTGGTTTCGCTCTGCCAACAATCAATTTGATTGACATATTTACATATCAACTCATCTCATCTTACAAATTTTAAACTTTTTCACTTAAAATTGGATTCAAGTTGGCATCTTTCAAGAACTTTATGTACGTATATTTTAGGTTCAAACTGCATTAGGACATTTTTTTTTTTTTTACTTTTGTAAGTAATAGATACACATATCCAAATGTATATTTATGACCTGTCAGATTGGGATTTTATATGCATGCAGTTGTATTCTCACCATTTCATGTGAAAGGTGATAATTTTAGGCAACTACAAATGAAATTCTTGTAATAGTATAAACTGGATTGTTCCATTAGTTAGAAGCAATATAATAGAAATAAATAACTTACATCTTTAATTATGTCTTTAATCGTTGTAGTTACACTTGTCATCTCTTACCTCATCTTTAATTTCAAGATCCCTTTTAGTTTTGGTTCTGTACCCTCTGTGTTCCTTCTCTGCCTCATCCTTCTCCATTTTGGTTTTATTCAACTGATAGCGCATTTCCCCGCACACCTGTTAGATAGTAAAAACTAGATCAATAGCTGCGGGAATCTACCAGGCAATGCCTGCAATTAGATCTTTTGGTGCCCCCTAGAGGTCGTATAAATAAAATACAATAGAACTTTCCTAAGAACGGCATTTTCTGTTAGAATATTCAACGTATTCTGTTAAGATGTGAAGGCAATATCAGGTATTACTGAGTTTAACAATTTCAAATTATGATAAAGAAATGTATAACTAAGAGATTTAAGTAATGTGCCCAAATTTTTTTGTGTAAAATAAGTTTCAATTGCACATTATCATTCAAAATGCATTATCATCTCTATTTTATATAGATAAAATCATTAATTAAAATATTAAGCTATGTGAATATTCATTCAAATTGTTGTGGTTTAAATAGACATTCTATACAGTAAAGTTTTCCTTTAAAGATTTGATCAGTTAGGCTTTTATTTAAGGAAATTTATAAAGGAATTTTTCTCTCTGCTAAGAGACTATATAGTATTTAGGTGTACAGTAGAACCCAGTATTTACTGTAATCTTTGTAGATAATGTCAATCTTAAGCACAGTGCGATGTATTTAAGTTGATAAACATTGGTAAAAGGCACAGACTGGAACCATTTATAACTGTAGCATTCAACTTAAGAGGAAAATATACATATAAGTGAAATGATTTTAACATATCATTAAATAATGAGTATACATAGCATCTTAAGAGTGTTGTGTATCATTCTTTATACAATTTTTTTTTTCAATCCAGGGCCTCTACAGACAGGTAAATAAATTTGGAAAATGCAATCAGTAGATAAATTTAAACAAAGAAATTATAAGCTTTTGAGACAACTGAGAACCTGCAGAGAGATTAATTAACACACAAGTCTGCTAATTCAGTCTCTGATATACAAATACAACTTTTTAAAAATCATGTATCATCTAAAGGTTATATAGTTGCTTGAAACTTTTTCCAATTTTGGTATTTCTCCAAAACTGATGATTAGAACTTCAGAAATTAGTTTTCATCATTATTGAGGTATTAGAATCTCATAAAACCTATATCTATCTCCCATGATCAAATAAAAAATACTTTGAAAAATAAACAAATCTGTGTCTAAAGGTTATAGTGACAAGACAGAGGAAAGTCAGTAAGTTTCTCCCCAATGGCCCTCAAAATGCTAGAAGAATAAAATTACAAAAAATTTGATTTGAAATTCAAATGCCTTGAATGTGTCAGAGCTGACCCCTCTCATTAAAAAAAAACTAGTAATTTACAAAAAGTTATTAATTCTAAGGCTAAATAAAGTTTAAAATTAAGAATGATAGAAAAAAATTAGAGGGGCCCAAATTTGCTTGCTTTCTTATTCTTATTCCAACCTATTTGATTTATACACATGAATGAAATGAAAAAAAAAACCCAAATTGAAAATACCAAAAAATTATAATTACCCAGCCATGGTGTTTCAAACTCAATACCAATACAAAATTATTGTTTATTATTATATGTCTAAGCATTGTTTTATTTAGAATTATTTCATCTCTTAATTTTATTTTTAAAGTTCCCTTGCCTTACTACTTTCACTTTAGCATCTGCTAAGTTTATCCATAACCCTTAAGTTTATCTAACATAAACGGGCAAATTAAATTGAAGTGGAATGATATCTCAGGGTTGGAGCCACCACGAGGCATGCTTCTGATGCTTGAGTCTTTCTGGACGGTTCTAAAGACAGAGGAGGTATCTTTACTGTACACATTCCAACAGAAAGTTCTCTTCCTGCAATGGACTGGACACTCTCACCACCAGCTTTCCCCCATAAATCTGGATTAACCACTGCCAGCCCTCTATATCCATTCCCTTACTTCTACCCCTACCCTCCACACAAACACATTGATGATATTGGCAAATATGGTATTTTAAAACTTTAACGTTAGCTAGCTTGAACTTTAGAAAACAAATGGAGAATTACAGAAATTGAAGGGAAAAACAAGAAAAAAATAGGTTTTGTTTCTTCCATATACTAAAGGTAATGTTAATTACTAAATTATAAGTAACAATGGCATTACAAATGTGTCAACATTTAGGGAAATATGTGGATAAGTAAAATGCAGCATGAAAAGGTATGCATTTCAAACAAAATCATCTGTGTAAATTGGTAAAAAGAAAACAATCAATTTAATTTATTACATCATGCATGCCTATATTTAGTTGCTTAGTTTTAAAGCAACTTATTGCCGAAATCCACATGGACTTTAGTGTTTCATAAATACGTGCCTTACAGTGACGAGCGAAGACTATAAACAATTTAGTTTTGGTTTACAAGTTTGTAATGCCCATAGCACAGACACTGTGGTATTTTATTCTTTTTAAGATTTTATTTATTTGACACTGTGATATTTTAAAGTATAAATTTAGGGACCAATAAAATAAGACACTTAGTATTTGAGCCTTGATTTTAGAGACCAGGTCCGAAAAGGAATGGGAGGTGGAGAATTTTTTATGTTAAGCACACTCTTCATGTGGTAAATAAATCTCTTTTACTATCATTGTGGAGACCAAAGCCATGCTTTCTCTGGCAAACATTTCTCCCATCTAATTTAGAAATATAAATTTGACCAAATATTCAATGATTAAAATAATGAAACTTGCTTATTGATAAGTCTGTCTCAGCCACTTAACCTTCAGTTCTTCCAGGACATTATTTGTGACTAATTCATCTTTTGTATTTGCAGCACCCATCAGAGGGCCTGCCAATAATAAGTAAATGCTGGCTTAATGACCATTATGTGGATCTTTACTATCTTAAATAACAAAACTTTTCCATTCCAAACTGCTTTCTGGGCTTTGTACATTGGGAAAAAATTTTAAACTAAAATCTCACATTGTACCTTTGTGACATCCATTTCCTTGGAAGTAAGCTGGTTTTGAACTTCCTCGAGTTGATTAATAGCTGAAGTCTTCTCTCTTGTAACCTTTTCAACCTGGGCCTCCAGTTGGGCAATATTTTGAGACAGGGACAACATCTATAAGAGGAAATAAAAGTCCTAAACAATAATGCCATTTGACCAAGTAAATATTAAGAACATTGATTACTCAGCCATAAAAAAGAATGAGAATTTGCCACATGCAACAATGTGGATGGACCTAGAGAGTGTAATGCTAAGTGAAAGAAATCAGAGAAAGACAAAATACCATATGATTTCACTCATTTCTGGAATTTAAGAAAAAAAGGGAAAAAAGAGACAAAGAAACAAAAAGACACAGACTCTTAAATACAGAGAACAAACAGGTGGTTCCCAGAAGGGAGGTGGGTGGGGAGGGTGGGTGAAATAGATGAAGGGGATTCAGGGTACACTTACCCTGATGAGCACTGAGCAGTGTATAGAACTGCTGAATCATTATATTGTACACCTGAGACTAATATAATACTATGTAAAAAAAAATCTGGAATTAATGGAAGTCTCTGCATGGCTCCTGGGTTCACTCTTAAGTCATTTCTCTGTGAATTGGGTATGTCCGTTTTTCCACTTCCTCAACTCACCCATCCCCCATGACTTAAATATATACTTCCTTCTGATTCGTTCTCTGGTCTCTACCCTCATTTTGGGAAACACGTACAAGATGATAAAAATCAAAGTTTGGGTTGAAACCTTAAGGTGATAATCATGTAAGTTGTGCAAGGGACTGACAGGAATAAATTTCAAAGGTGATGTCAAGAAATCAGAGAAGTGTGGGGAACCTGGGTGACTCAGTCAGTTGGGCATCAGACTCTTGACTTTGGCTCAGGTGATGATCTCAGGGTCCTGGGGTTGAGTCCCATGTTGGGTTCCCCGCTCAGCAGGGAGTCTGCTTGAGATTCTCTCCTCTCCCTCTCCCTCTGCCCCTCCCCCAATGTGCTCTCTCTCAAATAAATAAATCTTTTTAAAAATGATTAAATCTTTAAAAAAATCAGGGAAGTCTTAGACCCTTCTCCCACATGGAAGGATAAAAGGACATGGTGGGAGAGCTGGAGAGCCCCCATTCTCTAGCTACCCTCCTTCTTCCTCTCAGCCGTCACCCCTTCTCCTCAGGAAGGTTTCTATGACCGCTGGCTCCCAGCACAAAATAGGAGCCCTTCCCACACCCAAGGTTGCTATGCCCTGGGACAGCCATGCCTGCTGTTGGCAGCGGGCACCCATGGGCACAGATCGCTGCCCCAACCACCTCTCTATGTCTCCATCACACTGCAGCCTGCGACGTCTGCCCACTTCCAGCCTGGCACTTATCCCACTGTTTCGTTGTCTGTTTGCTCCCACAGACTACAAGTTCCTCGAGGGCATGTTCCTCAAGAGGCACCGAAGGTATGATGAATGAACAGATCACTGGAATGAACGGCTTTTCGGAGGAACCATCCACTCTATGAGTGTCAGCTTCTTACTTTTTCTTCCCAGGGCGAGAAATGCTTTCTAGATCTCAGGTTTAACCTTTACAGTTCTTTATTTGCAATTACATTTTACTCTGCTCCAGGAAGTCAAAACTTCCTAGACTCTTAATTTCTTATTTGTATTGGCAGCTTTAAAGTGAAAAAGAAATGCTACCTTCCTAGAGAGGGAAACACAGAGAGATATCTATCAGTGTTTAATCTGTTACACAAGAGCTTGTAACAAAACTGAAAGAATATTTTAAATTTACTGTTGTACATGGACATGGGTGTGAATGTCCATTTTAGTTTTACAACTAAAATCAACAGGGCAAAGTTTGTGATAAAAATCAAGACTGCCTTTGAGTTATGTAACTAGCTCAAGTTGACACATATGAAAATAATGAGCCCTGGTAGCGATTTTCTAATTAAATGGTAGATGTATTAATTAACTTTTCTGGGGATTGTAGAGAATTGTACATTTGACTTATGGTTGTTTACATGTCCTTCTTATCATCAAAAGACTGACTAAAAATTTTAATTTGCACATAAAATTACTTTTACTAACACCAGGCTACAAACTATCCTAATGCATATTGCAATCTGACCCCCAAATTGAAAGTCAAAAGAAATTAAATGCAACCAATAACGAGATTAATTTATATACTTAATTTTAAAAATTCAAGTTCATGAGTATCCATATTATGAAGCCTTTCCGGAAACAACAGCAGCGAACTTCAATTACCAGCTACTAAAAATCATACTTATGTGAAGCTATATCTTATGGTAAACATATTAACATCGGTGGTTTCTGAAGTAAATATGCAGACAGACATTCACTTGCTAATTGTAAATTCCAACTCAGTTTCTATTATAAGCATGTACCAAATCACACTCCTTCCATCTGATTCCCTCCCTCTGCCACCCATCACTTCTTTCCTCTGCCCACTACCTGTCTGCTCCCTCCTGTCACCCACTTCCTGAGGCCTCCACTCCTGTTGTCACACCTTCTTTTTCCCCTCGCCCACCATCTGGAAGTCAGCATTACACTGCAGGAGCTTCTCCATCCACATCTGTTGCGGAGACAGAAGTAGCACAGACAGCTGCAACACTGCTGGATGTCCAGGGCGTCGACATCAGGTAAGTCCTTTAAACTTTGACAGGGGCAAGCAAGAGACAAGGACACCCAGGCTGGGAGAGCTTGATGGAAATCTCTCGGCTGAAGCAGTCCCTAGTGGTCTGAACATGGTATAAAGTGGTACTCGCCATAGAACAGGTGCAAGAATGAAGGATTCTAGCCATGGACTATTATCAAGGGAACCAACTGAAAATAAAGTGCGGACCACATAGGGGGTGCTCACTAAATATGATAAATGACTGATTGAACTAACAAACTCAGGGGCTCAGAGCAGCCAAGGACCATAACTGAAGACAACAAACAAACTCACAGCAAGTACTGTTCATGGGGGGATGATTCAAAATCTGTCTAGGTAGAAGACATCTGCTCTCCTAGAACTTCCCACACACACGAAATTTAATGAGAACGAGTCAGGAGAGAGGAAAGAAGAAAACTAATAAAAAGAGAGGAAGAAAGTTTAAAAGTCTCACAAGCTTTCCTGACTGCTCGGAAAGGGGGTGGGGGGTGCTTGCTTTAGCCCTAACTACAGAGCCTCACAACGTTAGGAGGAATTGCTCAGTCTCACTCTTAGACTAACATCATCTGCCAGGCAGTTGATACATATTCTCACTTTGCATCCCCCCTTGAAGGACAAATTACACTCAATTAATTTTCAGTTGAAAAAAATGAGATTCAGAAAATTAAGGCATGTGCCTAAGTTCACTGAAGCTAATGAATAAAAAGTAAAGCCAGGCTTTATATTCAAATGTCTGCTTTACTCATACAGAGAAATCTATCCCATCAGGCAGCTTCTCTTTCTCTGGAATAAGAATGATAATAGCCTTGAGTTTCAAAGTTATTAAATGTCCACTCTAGGCCAGGTATATTAGGCCCTTTTGAAATATTCTGATTTAATCCTACCAATTTCTTGAGTAGATCAACTCCATTTCTTACTCCTCTGACATGGGAGAGGTTAAACAAATTATTCAAGGTCACAGAAAGGTCAACCTGGATTCAACTCTAAATCTTTTGACTCCAAAGCCACTTACTACCATTTCCTGGTGAAAGCACCTGCCCGAGAGCTAGGACCACTCTCAGCTCTTCATTCAGTCACTTTATTTAGGGCAGGACCTTGAGATTCAATGCCAGCCAAGGGTTACTGTGGGCAAAACATAGCTGGTCTTTGCTGTGGATCTCATTCTCTGTCACACACACAATACACAATTCACAAAGTTACCCCCACTCCATGCCTCACTCTCGTTGGTTATAGCCAGCATTCCTCCCCCCATGCTCTGCATTTCTGAATCCTACCCTCACTGTGAAACTCAGTTAAAACGCCACCTTCCTCACAAAATCTTCCATGATCTCTTGCAGACACAGACTGTCTGATCCTCTGAATAAACATCTTCGTCATACCTTTCCCTTGTACTACATTCATTCATTCATTCATTCATTCAACAAATATATGTGAAGAACATTTTATGAGAGTGGGATGTGCCAAGCAATGACGATGTTAACCAACCACACATTCAAGGGACTCATAGTAAATTGGGGGAGACAAACAATTCAGTAAGAATTTGCAGTTAATTGAGTTATAGGAGCCCACAGAAGAGGCTCGCAACTCATCTCTGGGAGTAGGTGGTAACCAGAAGAACTCTGAAGGATCACTTAGAGAGGGCATGGAGCAGAGCATTCCTCTAGGCAAGGGGCAAGGCATGTGCAAAATCCTAAAATGAAAACACAGTATGGCAGATTGGCATGTCTGTGTTGGAGCTAGTGCAGTAGGTCAGCATGGTGTCAAAACCAGGAAGAAAAGTGGAGGGAGATGAGACTGGAAAGCCAAAGAGAGGAAGAGAAATGTAGAATTTTCATGTGATGCTAAAGGATCCTAAATTTTATCCAAGGGGCTGTAAGGAGACATGAAAGGATTTTAAAGCCAGAGACTGACATATTGACGTATTCATTTGAGAAAGATCATCCCGGCTGTGGCTTAGACGAGAAGGAGGTGAGCCCGGGAGCAAGGAGAGGGCTTGGGCTAGAAACCATCCAGGGGTGAGGTATGGATAGCAGTGGGCTGGAGAGACAGGGCAACGGAAAATTCCTAGGCACCTGAATCTCTAGATTTTGGTGACATAAGGATGAGTAGGGTGAGGGAGAGAAAGGACCCAAGAATGCCAGCAAAATTTGGGGGTTGGGCAACCCCCTGGGGGAGGGAAGATGGGAAGTGAAGCTGGTTTGGGAGCTCACTAGAGAGCTGAGGATTTAGGAATCGATTCCATATACGTGAAACTGGGAGCCGCAGTAATGCCGAAGACCCCGAAATCTAAAGCTCTCTGCTAAACTCTAGAACTTTCCATCAAGCTGTTTTCTGCATGTGTTTCCTTGTCTCAAAGGCACTTTAAACTCAGAGCAAACTGAAAGGCACACATCATCATTCTGTCAAATCAAGAATATAGATCCAAAGGAATCAAGGAAAGAGAATCTTTTAAAGGGAGTAAGAACTAAAAAATATTCCCTAAAAAATAGCACTAGGAGGGCTCCAGTGAACATAATGAGACAACACGTACAGACAAACCTTTCAAGAAATGTGCCCATTATGGGGAAAAGCAAGGAGGGCCATGGAATTACTGAGGTGGCTTCCAACCTTGGCTGCACATTGGAATCACCTGGACAACTTTAAAAATACTGACACCTGAATCCTACCCACAGCTATTTACACATCTCGGTTGGGGATGCAGATTGGGCAGGAAGGTTTTTGGAGCCTCTGTGGAGCCAAGATTGAGAACCACTGGATTGGAAGATTGTTTCTTTCAATGGATGACAGAAACTTGTGCAGATTCTCCCCATAAGGAAGAGGATTCAGCGGGGGAGGAGAATGGAAATGACATCCCTGCAGGGCGCCTGGCTGGCTCAGTCAGTTGAGCACCCGGCTCTTGCTTTTGGCTCAGGTCATGATCTCAGGGTCTTGGGATCAAGCCCCACGATGGGCTCTGCACTCAGCTCAGTATCTGCTTGTCCTTCTCCCTCCCCCTCAGCCCCACCCCCCTCTCAAATAAATAAATAAAATCTTTAAATTAAAAAAAAGAAAGAAAGAAAGGATCTCCCTGAGGTGGAGGAAGAGAATGGGACCCAGAGCAAGGGGAATGAATTAGCGTGAGGCTTCTCCTGTTCTGGCACAGTTGGGATGCTGGTGAAATTTTACTTGAAGTCTCAGGTAAGGGGGATGATAAATAGTTGAAGTTTTCAGTTTTCTTCATTAGGTAAGTAAGGCTCTCTGCTGATAATGAGGGGAACGATGGTATAGTAGAGAATTTGAGCAGAATAAAAGTGATTTAAAATAGTCCTTGAAAATGGGCCCAAGATACCATCATTGCCACCTGGACTAGGATAATTACCTCCCACCTGATCTCCAGGCATTTATTCTGATTTTCCTTCCAATCTCTTGACAGATGGTACTTCTCAAATATAAATGGCATCATGACGCTGCCCAATTTAAAGTCGTTCGATGGTTTTCCATTAGTTTCTGGATAAAATTTAAAATCTTTCACATGCATTTTAAGGCCATTCATGCTTTGGTCTCTACATACTACTCCAAACTCATCTCCCGCTACTGTCCCCACTTCCTATGCTCCAGTCACCTGGGCCTTCTTTAAATTCCTAAAAAGTATGATGCTCTTTAGCTTCAGTGTCTGGGGGGTGTCGTTTCCCTGGGTTTGAATCTCTTCCCCTCAATTCTTCACCTGACTGCTCCTACTCAACCCTGCTGAGTCTCGTTTTCAAAATCTCTTTCATAGGACAGTCTTTCACGACCACCTGGACTTGGTCAGAGTGCCTGTTACATACTCCCATGGTACCCTATACTGTACTTCCTTGCCTTTATCACAGTGGTAACTACAAACTCACTCAGGGAAGTCTGTGTCCAATGTCTTCCTCTTCCCTCCTCTGGAAGCAGGACTGCACACTCCCAGGCCCTCCAGTTACTTTCTGTTGTTGAATGCGGAATGAACGGGGGAGAGGAATGCACGGCGGGACTGCTGAAGCAGCAGGAGCACCAGGGACACTAGGGTCATGATGCACAGGGGTGCTGTCTGCAAGGCTCAGATTGCCCATCCAGGCCAGAGGAGGCAGATGGTTCAATTGACATAGAGTGAGGTTCTCACAGGCGCCATTTTTCTAAAGACTAAGACAAGGGAGTTTACAGTAAATGCCTCAGACACCCATAAGCCTTAAAAATCCCCTCGACAGAACTTGTGATTTTTCTCTTTATATATCCTCAGGATTCACATTGTCTTGCACATAGAAGATACTCAGTAGATACGTGCTGAATAATGTAATTATCACACACTGGAATATTATAATAACAAAGCATTCAGGGTATAAGCTGCGAGTCACTTTAAAAACAAAACAAAACATGTAACAGCTGCTTTGGTTATTTTATGGACCCCGTCTTGCTCAGTGTTTACTCTATTGTAGCAACTTTAAAGATTTATTTATTTATTTTAGAGAGAGAGTGAGATAGCGTGTGAGCTGGGGGGAGGGGGAGGGGGAGGGAGAGGGAGAGAGAATCCCAAGCAGACTCCACACTGAGCGCGGAGCCCAACTTGGGCCTCCATCTCATGACCCTGAGATCGTGACCTGACCGAAACCAAGAGTCAGACACTTAACTGACTGAAGCACAGGCGCCCGCATTGCAGCAACTTTAAAGCTAGGTTTCAATTCTGTATTCCAGTTTATTACTGTTTCCCAAACACTGCCCATTTCATGTTAGCTGTTCCTTTTGCCTTTCATCTCTTCCTTCCATGTGTTCATCTGGCTATGTTCATTATTCATCATGCAATTTGTCAGAACCTACTTGTTACAGTGTATATAATTATTTTTTCTCGGTTACTTGGTTTCTTACACATGTTTCATCTTCTACAGGTCTAATTTGAGAGTGTGGGAATATGGTGGGGGAGTCATCTCTCCTGGATTTAGCCCAGGTTGAAATAAAATCTGGATATCTGCAGAGCACCTGCTTTTCTCTAACAAACATGAGAGAAGGAATCAAACAGAATGGTGGGATCAAAGTATAATTTTACAGTTTCTTATCATGGAATCAATTGATTATTTTACTCAGAGAGGTCCAAGAATATAACTTTTCTTGAGAAATACATGAAAAAATGGAAAATTTTTATGAACTCTAAATTACAAGCAACTGACTATTTACAAGGTTTTTAAAATTGAGTGTTCATTCAAGAATGGCAGCCTACAGCATCATCAGTCACATCACCACAAACATTTCTGCCGCAGCGGGTAACAAAGTGAATCCGAAAGTACCTTTGACCTCACGTCTTCCCTTTCTTTTGTTATTTCCTTTCTCATTGCCTCTTTCTCAAGGGCCCTTTTCTCTTGCTGAGACGCGAGTTCTTTTTCAAGACGCTCTGTCTGTCTCTCCAGTTGATTCTTCAACTGCTCACACTGGATTAAAGCCTGCCAGAGTAAGACGGAGTGAAATGGGGCCTCAGAATTTGCAAAAATGAGAGGAAAATGAGACAATTAAGCTTCAATTTTCTTTAAAATCATCACAAGTCACTGTAAAGCCCATTAGAATAATTTTATATTTGTCAATACCACTTATAGAACTAAAATACTATTCAAATGGTACATTTATTAACACACTTCAATTTTCACAATGAAGACTATATTAACGAAGCAACTAAGAAAACTCAGGTAAATGGACCCCGATGAAGACCACAGATGAATCCAAATTTTGAAAAACGGCATCAGAGAAATCAAGTGTTCTAATATTTTTCAATTATATAGCATGTCCATACTAAATGAAATATATAAGTATCCAATTTAACTGACTTTTCATTTGCTTATGGTTAAAAATTAGTGAAATGCTTCAAAATTTAAAATGAAATGTACCTGTTATGATATACAGGCATCTATTTTTAACATTATCAAATAATCAAGTTCCCTTAAATATAACTAAGATAAGATTTAGTTCACTCTCCTTCCAAACATAACAAAAGTAAAAATTACGTAATAATAAAAAGTTTAGATAAAAAAAGACTCAAAACAACATTTACTCCCTAGTTTCACGAAATGGAAAGTGCCATCTCTCACTGCTGGTAATTTGTAAGTCCATAATTATTCTTTAGTCTCGATTTCCCACTCTGAATTTCTAGAAGTAAAATCCTTCTAACTTCCTTTTAAATACATCCACAGTTATCTTTATGCAAAATACCCAATAATAAACTAATCTCAAAATCCCAATTTTAAAAAACCCCAATAAAGGTAAGGTGCTTGACACAGAAAGTCTGAGTCATTCCATGCTGTATTAGTCTTCTCCCAGTGGCTTTTATCCAATATCCAGCCTTCACCTCATTCAAAACCACTATGTTCCTCTGAATTATCAACCCAAGAAACCCAAGTCTCATATGACCTACAACCTTATAAGTATGAATCAAGTTATATATTTGATAGTCACACTTGTTAATGGTGAGGGAAGTGGTCTCAGTAAGCATTGCAAGTTCTATGCATAGCTTTGCTTCCCTCTGGTGAAAGCTATAATAAATACAGACAAACAATCTAGGGTATGTGAATTTGCTTCTCTTCATCTGGAAACCATTAAACCCTAATTTCTTTCAAATTCTTCTGGAAAGTTTCTGCACTCCTAGATATAAAATATGAGGGTAAAACTCAACTGTCTCAGATTAACTGACAAGCACATCCAGTGACTAAGAAATTATTCTCCTAGGGACTTGGTACCAAGTCCAATTCTAGTTGAGAATGTCTGTAAAATAAAATCTTCTATTAGATTTTAAAAGAATTGAAAAAGCATAGTTTTTCTATAATTTAAGCCCTTGTAGCGTGAAACATTATGAATTTGAGATTTTTGTGCTTCATAACACAGTTGCTGCTGTGAAAAATATTTTAAACATTTTATTTCATTATTATTATATATTTTTTGGGAGAGAGAGCATGAGTGGGGGATGGGGAGGGGCAGAGGGAGAGAATCTTTTTTTTTTTAAGACCTTATTAATTTATATGATAGAGAATGAGAGAGAGCACAAGTAGGCAGAGCGGCAGGCAGAGAGAGAGGGAGAAGCAGGCTCTCTGCCGAGCAGGGAGCCCGAGGTGGGGCTCGATCCCAGGACCCTGGGATCACGACCTGAGCCAAAGGCAGATGCTTAACCGACTGAGCCACCCAGGCACCCCATGAAAAATACTTTATATGAACCTAATAAAAATCTTCATAACTTTCAAAGATCTAATACCCATGGCACGAAAGAATAAAATGATTATTGACTATAAACCAATATTTCCAATCAGAAGCTTTTTCATTGAACAAAAACTCAGGAGTCAACATTATTGAGCACAGAACAGTGGAAGGGACTGCCGAAGATCAAAGCGCAGGCTGACATGAAGAACAACCAAAGAACCAATCTCAAGAAATCAGTTAGTTCGGAAACAAGGAACAGTAAATGAGCCTGACGGGGAAAGAGGCCTAACGCCAGCGTAAGATGATATAAACGAAAAGTATAAAGTACAAGGCAAGAACTTGTAAATCACTTAAAACCATTGCTGAAGCCTTCTCCCTCTTAGGACTGGCCACTATGGAGAGGTAATGATGAGGAGGTATGAGTAAAAGTAAGGACTTTTATTTGTCTTGATTTTAATATATACGCCTGATCCCAATGAAGAAAATATGAAGGATCAGTAACACTTGGATTTAGAGAAGCGATTTAATCTTTCTAAAGATAGCTTTCTTACTGTGGACCTCACGCACTAGAAGGTCAAGGGGAAATAAACAAATATTTATACACTCTTTCCATTAAAGCTTTACCTTACCAAAAAAAAAAGAATTTATTTATTTATTAGAGAGAGAGAGAGAGAGAGCACAAGCAGGGGGAGCGGCAGAGGGAGAGAAAGAAGCAGACTCCCCGCTGAGCAGGGAGCCCAAGGAGGACTGGGGGCTCAATCCCAGGACCCTGGGATCACAACATGAGCAGAAGGCAGATGCTTAACCCACTGAGCCACCCAGGCACCCCAAAGCTTTACCTTTTCATTCCAGGTCTCCCTCTCCCAGTTTCCAGAATCCCAGCTGATCCAGTACTACCTGATTCTGCTTGTCTAACCATTCCATAAAGGCATAATTGAATTCTCACAAGCGACGTCAGTAAATGGTCAGTTACAGCTTCAGAGAGGCCCAAGTTGATCTGGGGGCCTGCATCTGCCATTTCTCCCAGTGGTTCCCAAGGGGGTAGCTTCTTTCTTTCCCTGAGCACAGCCCCTTTTTGGTGGAAGTGGTTGTTGCTCTTGAGAAGTTGAGGGAATTAGACTATTCCCCCACCCAACTGATTCAATCCTCAAGGGACCTTTTCTCTTCTGAGAAATTTCTTTAATTGTGGTTATTCTATGCTGGCCACATTAATACATTATTCAAAACATAATTTACTGGACTTGATATTCCCAGCCCTAGTTTTATTAAACCAACAAGTATGGGTTGCTGTCTTAATGGGGCCAAAACATTTTCTGTAACAAATTTATATCTAGTCAACTCAATTTTTTAAAATAGGAAACCTATTTTAGGACACATGAAAGTCCTTCCCAAGTGCTAGGGCTAGGTTTCTAGAAATCCTTGTGATCAAAGAATTCACAATTCTAGAATTAAAGACCTTAGGAGAAATAACAAAATTCACACTTAAAAATTTAAATTTAAAATTCACATAAAAACTTATGAAAATGTTTTCATTTTTATGAACTATAGCCCACAAAACTAAAATGCTGTCAATATGTTTTAAGCAGGTAACTTATAAATAATGATAACTATTGATTTTTAATTTATAAACTCTTGCTTGCTAGAAACCTATCAGTCAGTCTGGCCCTATCTCCCATTTTCAAGATGTTTGTAATTTGTTTTGTGGCAGACAATGTACATATCAAGAAGCAATGGGGCACCTGGGTGGCTCAGTTGGTTAAGCGTCTGGCTCTTGATTTTAGCTCAGGTCATGATCTCAGGGTCCTGAGTTCGAACCCCATGAAAGGCTCCCCATTGAGCGTGGAGCTTGCCTAAGATTCTCTCCCTCTCCTTCTGCTCCTTCCTGCCCCACACCGTACTTGCTCAATTTCTCTCTCTCTCTCAAAAAGAAAAAATAAAAAGCATTATATTCTCTGCCTGTGCTTGCAGTCAAATGACCAAATGTGTTGATCTTTTTACTTTAGGTTTCTAATTTTTGCCTTTCTGATTCTTCTATAGTCTAAGAAAAAGAGTAATTTAGAAAGGAAAATGAAAGTTTTGGGGACATTTATTCAACCTCCCGGGTTTTTGGTTTTTTTTTTTTTTTTTTAAATCTTCCCTTGGAGGGTTATCTCATAAATACAGTCATGATAACTTCATGCTAAAGCCAACAATTTCCCTTAAAATAGAAGCAAGCAGGTCTGAGGGCTGGTTAACCTTTTCATGTTGTAGCTTTACCAAGGCATCACTGCAAAACCTCTGCTTTTCCAGCCTCATTTATATTGAGGATATTTTTTCCCTCTTTTAAAATGATCCCTGGTTGTAATGGCTTACAATTTTCAGAGAAAATCAAAACCATTTATTGATCACTCACCATGTGCCAGATACTTTGCTAAATGGCTTACATGGATTAATTTATTTAACACTCTCGCTAAATTTTAATAGTTCTTATCACTCAGCTGAGTGAAGAAACTGAGCAGCTCTGAGACATTAAGTAACTTGCCCAGGATCACAGACCTAAAAAGTGGCAGAGTAGAGATCTGAGCCAGGGTGGTTCTACAGCTGAATGGTATTATAGCTTTCTCGTGTTACAGATCTATTACCTTATAAAATCCTCGGGTGTTTTCACTGCCATCGTCAACGTAAGTATAGAATATAAAATAATTCCCCATGTGCATTTACTTAGCATGCAATGTGCAAATGTGAACACTAGATGGCAACAAATGTCAAGGAACTATAAGAACAAAGTACCCATTTCATGAGCTCAAAGATCAAGTAGTTGGTTTCAAAATTAAAATATGGATTCCATTTTACTTTTTTACTCTCAGAAAGCAAAATTCCTATTATGTTTTAACATACTTGAGATAAACGCTAGTAGATGCGCACTGTATTTCGTAAACTGCACAGAAATCAGTTCTTGCGTTATTATTAATTCAAGGAAAAATGCTTTAGATTCGCAATACGCAATAGCTTCTTTTGTTCTTAACTGTTAAATTTTTAAAAGCACTAATTGCACTTATTACCTGCCTTTTAAGGTCTTTTGGTAGTGGGGCACCTGGGTGGCTCAGTTAAGTGTCTGCCTTCAGCTCAGGTCATGATCCCAGGGTCCTAGGATAGAGCCCTGCATCAGGCTCCCTTCTCAGTGGTCTGCTTCTCCCTCTCTCTCTCCTGCTTCTTGTGTTCTCTCTCTCTCTAACCCCCCATCAAATAAATAAATTTTTAAAAAATCTTTAAAAAAAATAAG